CTAGCTATTTGAGAGGCTGAGGTGCGAGGATTGCTTGAGTCCAGGAGTTGGAGGTTACAATGAGCTATCATCATGCCACTGCACTCCAGCCTGGGTGACAGAGGGAGATCCTGTCTCAAAAAAATATATAGTTAATTAAATTCATATTTTAAATTTATTTATTTTTTGAGACAAAGGTTTGCTCTTGTTGCCCAGGCTGGAGTGGAATGGTGGGATCTCAGCTCACTGCAACCTCCACCTCCTGGGTTCAAGCAATTCTCCTGTCTCAGCATTCCAAGTAGCTGGGATTACAGGTGCACGCCACCATACCTAGCTAATTTTTGTATTTTTAGTAGAGACGGGGTTTCATCATATTGGTCAGGCTCGTCTCGAACTCCTGACCTCAGGTGATCCTCCTGCCTCTGCCTCGGCCTCCCAAAGTGCTGGTATTACAGGCGTGAACCACTGCCCCTGGCCTAATTCAACTTTTTTATAAAGACAATTGCTTAAGATAAACATGATGACTTGGAGTCTGGCATAAGAGTCAGTGCTGTGTTGAAACATACGCACTTAGGCCCAAACCAAGGACTGTCCCAGAGAATCCCTGAGAAGCAAACTTCATGAAAACTATAACTGATTTAGTCCTAACTGGGGCTATGATACTTTCCTGCAAGGAAAGTGGTGCAGTTTCCCTAAGCCTCACCCTGGCTATCATTTGAGTGATAAACACAGCCCTGTGCTCTATGCAAAACCAACCCTGCTCTCCGCCCTGCTCTTTGCTTTGAGTTCCTCAACCAAATAAGTGCCCTCTAACTTTCTCTTTCACAATAAGAAAGTTCTCTGGATGAAGTCCTTCTACATTTAGATTACCGCTCTGGAATAGAAAATGTATCTCCCTGTGGTAAACATGTTGATTCTGTATAATGTCTGTTACGCTGTAATTTCTTTGTTCTAAGGGAAGCTTATTAATTTGAATTAAACTGCTGGTTGCTGGCCAGCCAAAGTATTAATTGTCCTTGGTGAAATGCCAATCTGTAGCTTAATCAGGTATATCTGGACTTTGGGGGAAAGGAAAAGGTCACGTGATAGTAAACAGGCCTGCCGGTTCGTTGCTGCTGCTCTTGAAGGCAGCCAGTTCACAGAGCGTCCAGCAGTACATCCTGAGGTCTTGTTTGAACAAATGAGCTGAGTTCCTCAGAATGCACCTGTAACACTTTTGTAATTATTTGATTGTTGCCTCTTGAGTAGATAATCAAGTGCATGGGGGCACACTGTAGGTGCTCCATAGGTATTTTTTCAAATTAGCAAATAAATGCATGACTAAAGCTGAAAGTCTATGGGGTCAAGAGAAGCTGGAGAAGTCAAGAGAGGACTTGAATGAATCAAAAGTTTGGCTAAAGTCAGGTTATGAGTAAGCCAAGGTATGAGTAAGCAGAACCTATGATGCAGAAAAGACAGAGATGAGATGGTATGAACGCCAGTCTGTAGTGAGCACAGAGTGTGGCAGACACAAAGGGAATATCTGAGTCATGTAAGAGGAAAGATTCACAAAATCCAGTGGCTGAGGTCTTGGAACTGCCTTGAATCTATAGCCAGGCTCTTAGTCCTGATCTTCCTGACCCTGATTGCTCAGCCTTTCCTGGGTTTCCATGAATGTGTGCTTTTACAATCAACCATTTATTACTAGAGGTAACTTGAATGAATTGCCATTTCTTAGGAGTCTCAGTTTTAGGCAGCCCTAGCCACAGCATAGGAGCCCTGAGGAGTCCAATTATTATATATCCCATGAAGCACATTATCCCTTTCTGTGGCTGGGATTGTGGCCAGCTCATGAGATGGCCGGACATGTTGGAATTCAGTGTGGTGACACAGCTTAGGCTCAAACTAGAACCCCTGCCACACACACCTTATTTTATCATCACACATTTTAAGAAAATGCTCTTATCACTCTTGAGCAAGGGCACACAGGTTTGCTTGGCCAAATCTGCATTTTTAAATTGAAGATCAGAAATAAGAAATAAACATTATTTTATCACAATACTTAAGAGGAGTTAGGAAGATGGATCTTTTTTTTATGAAATCATCACCCATGCGTATTGCTTGATTATGAATCTCAGCCACACTGTCAGTTACCCTCATGGTCTTGAGCCCTTCAGTGCCTGTATATAGATTAGTTTTCTATTGCTGCTAAAACAAATTATCACACATTTAATGGCCTGAATAACACAAACTTATCATCTTGGAGTTCTGTAGGTTAGAAGTCTGACACAAACTGGGTTACGATCAAGGTATTAGCAAGGCTTCATTCCTCTGCAGAAGCTCTAGAGAACCTGTTTCCTAGACTGTTTTTATTTTTTAAGAGATAGGGTTTCTCACTGTGACTCAGGCTCAAGTGCAGCGGCACAATCATAGTCCAACTGCAACCTGGAACTCCTGGGCTCAAGCAGTCCTCCCATCTGGGCCTCCCAAAGCACGAGCCACCGCACCCAGTCAGTTCTTAGCCTTGTTTAGCTCCTGCAGGATACTTTCATTGCTTGGCTCATGGTTCCTTTGTTTTCAAAGCCAACAACAGTGAGTCCTTCTCACATACATATCTCTTTGACCTGTCTCCAGTCACATCTCCGTCTGACTGACCTCAGCTGGGAAAGCTAACGTGCTTTTCAGGATTCATTGATTAGGTTGGACCCACCCAGAAAACACAAAATAATCTCCCCAGGTCAAGGTCCTTAACCCTAATCACATCTGCAAAGTCCCTTTCACCAAGTAAGGTAATAATATTCACAGGTTCTAGAGATTAGATCATGGCTGTTCTGAGGAAGCGATTACTCTTTCTACCACACCGTAATTACAAATTCCTCTGTGTTCTTACGAGAGCATCCAGGATTAAGATAGCAGCCAAATATGTCTAAAAAACCCAAGTAGGTTGCTACATGGAGGGAACCTCACAATAAGAAATAAGATACAGCTCTTTCTTTTTTTCTTTCTTTTTGGGGGGCAGATGGAGTCTCACTCTGTCACCCAGGCTGGAGTGCAGTGGTGTGATCACGGCTCACTGCAACCTCTGCCTCCCATGTTCAAGCGATTCTCCTGCCTCAGCCTCCATTAAGTAGCTGGGACTACAGGTGCATGCCACCATGCCTGGCTAATTTCGTGTATTTTTAGTAGAGAAGGAGGTCCACCATGTTGGCCAGGCTGGTCTTCAACTCCTGACCTCAGGTGATCCACCCACCTCAACCTTACTCCCAAAGTGCTAGGATTTCAGGCATGAGCCACTGTGCCCAACCAAGATACAGCTCTTTCAATCAAGGATCAGCAGAAAGGAAAGAGAAGGACTAATTACTGTGTGCCCTTAGCTTCAGTGTTTCAGGCATGGTGAGATGTATCTCATTTAACCTTCATAACAACTCTTTCCAATAGATATTATCTCTATTTTTTTCTAGTGAGGAAACCAAGACTCAGACTGGCTAAATAATGTGTACAAGTCCAGGTGCAGTGGCTCATGCTTGTAATCCCAGCACTTTGGGAGGCCAAGACTGGTGGAGTTTGAGACCAGCCTGGGCAACGTGGCAAAACCCTGTCTCTACCAAAAAATACAAGAAGTTAGTCTAGCATGGTGGTGTGCACCTGTGGTCCCAGCTTCTTGGGAGGCTGAGGTAGGAGGATGGCTTGAGCCCAGGAGGCTGGGGTTGCAATGAGTTGAAATCACGCCACTGCCCTCCAGCCTGGGGTGACAGAGGAAGACCCTGTCTCAAAAGCAAATTAAAAAATTAAAGATACATTTGGCATTGCACCCATCTAAAAGGAAAACCTGACCCCAAGACAGAATGTTTCCTCTATTTCCCTGTTTAGACCATAACCAGGAAGACTGCTAGATACACTAAATAATTTTTTTCAGAAAGTGACCATGGATAATCCTACTGTTTTATTAACCGGGAAGGCTATGGAACTGAGACGGCTGTGCATGGGGATTTACTGTCAGACCCATGCTCCAATCAAGTCCTCTCTTTCTATTAATGACACCAGGTAAACCTGGATCCAAGAAGCCAGTGAAGACCGTCCTGAAATATTTTTCCTGAGAACCTTGTAATGTCTCAGCCCCATGCCTCTCCATCCAATTACTATTACCTGCAAGATTATAGACCAAGCTCACTACGGATGCATTCTTACCAGGATGAGAGAACTAAAATGGCTATTGAAGCTGAGAGAGGATATTGCTTCCACACTGCAAGCTCTCCTCTTCTCCTGGTTCTGGGTACCTGTCTGCTCTCCCTCCAATTCTACCTCTCTTCCACGTTTTCTGTGACCCTCTCTGAGGCCAACTGTTTGACTGATCACTAGCTCTGCTCCCTGTAGACTGTTTGCATGTACTTTGGTCATACTATCTTGTTCTGCCCTCTGATATTTATTTACTCCTGATTTCTGTTGATTAATTGGCCTTTGTCTTATTGCTGCTCAAACTCTTGGATTTCTTGTTGTGGCCTGGTGCTCTCAGACCCTCAGCCTGCTGCCACATTCAATATAACTACCATCTCTTTCTAGAATTCTCTATAGGCAGATCCAACATATACTACTTGAAACTAGCTTCCCTTAGGGCCTACTACAATCCAAAACCATTTACTGAGACTAACAATACTCTAGGAGTGTGACTTTCTTTCTATCATTTCAGTTTCTTAATATTTGTGCCTTTTATTCTGTACTGCGATTTTGGTGTTTAATTTGTATTCTTTTTTTTTTTTTTTGAGACGGAGTTTCACTCTTGTTGCCCAGGCTGGAGTGCAACGGCGCAATCTTGGCTCACCGCACCCTCCACCTCCTGGGTTCAAGCGATTCTCTGCCTCAGCCTCCTGAGTAGCTGGGATGACAGGCATGCGCCACCATGCCTGGCTCATTTTGTATTTTTAGTAGAGACAAGCTTTCTCCATGTTGGTCAGGCTGGTCTTGAACTCCTGACCTCAGGCGATCCACCTGCCTCAGCCTCCCAAAGTGCTGGGATTACAGGCATGAGCCACTGTGCCCGGCCTAATTTGTATTCTTGAACTGCATTCTTCCATACATCAGAATGTGTTTCTTTGCAGAGTTTGCTATTTATGCTTCTTTTGGCTGACACTCATAAAGAGGGATTCATTTGTGTACTTCTCAGCAAATGCATTCTTTTTTTTTTTTTTAAGATCAACTGGACTCCTTAACACCATTCAGTAACTGGGAAGGTAGATAATGACTGCTCTTATAACAAAGAATCCAACAATAATAGCCAGCATTTATTGAATCGCTCATATAGGCCAGATGTTATCCTCCCATAATATTATGTAAGCCTCCCAACAACCCTTCAAGATTTGATTCCTATTTTACACATGAGAAAACTAAGGCTTAGAAAGGTTAAGTAACTTGCACAAAGTCTTCTAGCTAATAGGTGATGGATAGATGCAGAATTTCAACTCCATTTCATTGGTTTCCAAAATGCAGACTTCCACCACCGTTTTTTGCTGCTGTTGGCTAAGATCTGTTTGCAACATTTTAGAAAGAGAATATCAAAGTTCTTTCTTGCTCTGTTTACACAGCAAGAAAGAGCATAGAAACAAAGGAATTCTGATTATCCTCTCCTGATAGCATAAAATGAAATAATGGCCAAGTAGGGTGGCATCCTAGAGCAACCAGAGTAGGGTGCCTGTTATCCTTACTGTCCTAGAGGGGCAAGGTATAGAACCAATATATGTGGGAAAACGCCAGGATTAGAAACAAAAGAGAAAGAAAAAACTAAAGCCTGGAGGAATTCCCAATATGGAAGACATATTAGGGGACCTCTTTATAAGATTCCTAAGCCGGCCGGGCACTGTGGCTCATGCTTGTAATCCCAGCATTTTGGGAGGCCAAGGTGGGTGGGTCACCTGAGGTAGGGTGTTTGAGACCAGCTTGACCAACATGGAGAAACCCTGTCTCTACTAAAAACACAAAATTAGTTGAGGATGGTGGTGCATGCCTGTAATCCCAGCTACTCGGGAGGCTGAGGCAGGAGAATCGCTTGAACCTGGGCGGCGGAGGTTGCAGTCAGCCAAGATCATGCCATTGCACTGCAGCCTGGGCAACAAGAGAGAAACTCCATCTCAAAAGAAAAAAAAAAATAGATTCCCAAGCCCACTTGCATGGTTTGCCAAGTGTAATAACACAGTCCAAAAGGGACCAGACTGGAGCAGGGACCGAGTATCAGAGAAGGAGTACAGGGGCTTCAGCAGCAAAGAAATGATCTTGAATTCTGAAGCAATAGGCTTGCTTGGTTCCAGCTGCTTTTGCTGTTGTTTTAAATCCAGAATCCGCACCCTGGTGGGATGACAGTGACTGAAGGAGAGGAATATAGTTGACCTAAAAGGTGTTGGGAGAGTCAGGGGTTAGGGCTGGGATGTCATTGACTAAAGTGTAAAAATTTTACCCCAGACAATGGGAGATGCCCAAATTGTAGAAGCCAGAAGAGCTGAAAAACATTCAATGAAACAAAATCCTAGAAGCAGGAAGGAGAGTCTGAAGGTAGAATGTGAATGGGGGATGTCACCAAAACAAAAAGCCCAGAAAGTAGAGGAAAGAGTATAGAACTTTTGCCTGTAGCAGCTCAGCACTTCCAAAGCTGTCTCCCATCCCATAGAGGCTAAAAAAAAAAAAAAAAAATCAAACCCTATAGAAAGCCTGTGACTGATCATTCCCATGTTTCATTTTCTTCCAAAACCACTCACTCTGTCCTGATCCTGTTGTCATGTGCTTAGCTTCTGCTGTTCTGCCTAACCTCTCTGGCTAAGCAGTTCTCGAAGATACTCTCCTCGTTCTTCTATTCCATCTTCAGACCTTGACAGTGTCCTTCGCAATTGCTGTGGCCCTGTGCTCTGCAGCCTGCAAGTTGTCTCATCCAGACAATCTGGTTAACTCATCTCCGGACACCCTCCAAGTCCTTCTCAGCGCTAGGCCCACAGTGATGTTCCTTCCAGTCCACCTGAGAACCAAGAGTTGGAGAACTGTGTAATGTTGGCTGTGAACCACACCACTGGTCATGTCCTGCCAAATAGCATGATGTCCACTTGCACAGGGGACAGGTATCCATTATAGCAGAAGAATCACACATTGCTAGGTTTTCCCAAATGACAAATGGGAAACAAGAAAATTCATTTACTCAGTCACTAACCTTTGCTATCCTTTATAGCTACATTTTCAGGAGAAAGCAAGGACATTTTCCTTTCTGTCATTCACTTTGTTCATGTATATCCATATATAGAAAAGTACATGGATTGCAAGTATACAGCTGGATGAATTTTTGCAAAGTGAATGCACTGATCAGTACCCAGATCAAGAAACACACCATTACCATCACCCAATCCTCTCATGTCCCCACCTGATTACTACTCCCCATATAATAACCACTATTCTGACTTGTAATAACATTGATTCATTTTGTCTGTTTTAGATTCCATGTAAATGGAGTGTATATTATGCATTCTTTTTTGTGTGGCTTTTTTGTTGGATATTGTTTGTAAGATTCATCCATGTTGTGCATACCATAGTTCATTCTTTTTCATTACTATATAGTCTATTGTATGAATATGCTATTTTTAATCCATTCTACTGCTGTTGGACATTTGGATTGATTCCAGTTTTTAGCTATTGTGAATAGTCCTTCCATGAACATTCCTATGCATGTCTTTTAATGAACATATGTGTGCATTTCTGCTAAGTACATCTCTAGGAGTAGAATTGTTGGGTAAAAGTATGTGCATATGTTCAATTTTAGTAGATACTGCCAGTGTTCCAAAGTTGTTGTAACCAAGGAGATTTTTTTCTACTTCCAAATCTCCTGGAGTTAGAGGAAAGAGGTGCAGAGGCGGGCAGGTAGAAATTTCGCTGGCAGTGCCAGCAAGTACAGTTTAAAAGCAACTCTTTAGCCGAGCATGGTGGTGCATGCCTGTAATCCCACTACTCTGGAGCCTGAGGCAGGAGAATCACTTGAATCCAGGAGGTGGAGGTTGTGGTGAGCCAAGATCACGCCATTACACTACAGCCTGGGCAACAAGAGTGAAATTCCATCTCAAAAATAAATAAATAAATAATAAAAATATAAGCAACTCTTGGCTGGGAGCAGTGGCTCACGCCTGTAATCCCAGCACTTTGGGAGGCCAAGGTGGGCGGATCACCTGAGGTCAGGAATTCAAGACTAGCCTCAACAACATGGTGAAACCCCATGTCTACTAAAAGTACAAAACTTGCCAGATGTGATGGCATATGCCTGTAATCCCAGCTACTCAGGAGGCTGAGGCAGAATTGCCTAAACTTGGGAGGTGGAGGTTCCAGTGAACCAAGATCATGTCATTGCACTCTAGCCTGGGCAGCAAGAGCAAAACTCTATCAGAAAAAAAATAAAAATAAAAATAAAACAAACAAACAAAAAAACCTCTTCCTTTGTCTCTGCCATTATTTTTTCCAGATAGTTTCTTTCCCAATGCATAGGCTTGGACACGACATGCCGCCCAGGTCCAGCTGGCTGGTTCAATTCTGCAGTACTGGAACTTAGTATGGAGAATTTCAGCTAAGTCAATATGGGATACCAAGCCAGAGGAGTTAGTATAGCTGAAAACTGGGCAAAGATCAAAGTCCAAGAGGCCTGAAGAAAGTCCAGCAGGTTATGTAGTGAGGCTGACAGAATCAAAAGAGGGAGATGCATAGATCCAGCTGGAATGTAGGGCCGCAAATCCAGGGAGAGGAGCAAAAAGAACAAGCAGGTGAAGAGTAAATGGAAACAGGTTTGTGGTTCATGACTGGCCTGTATGTATCATCTGGGGTGGAATGGCAACGGTCAGCCAAATTTAAAGAGATGAAAAAACAAAACAATCTAATTCCACTGAAAACCAAAGCTGAGTAAGCCTTGTCTGGAAACTTCTTTTGAGGATAATTGCAAACTTCTGGGAATTTGAGTAGAAAATGCGGGGGTGGAACAAATATAGTTTTTTGTCAGAGATGTAATGTTTGGGTAACACATTTCTCCAGGCCAGTCTAGTATGGGAGCACGCTTGGATACTATGGACCATAGCAGCCCTTATAAGGAGATCATTAGCACCACAGGTCCCTTTTGTATCCTCAAGGATATACAGAGGTCGGGGAAGCCTCTTCTGCACTTCTGAGTGGCTACTTCCTGACTCATATCACCAGCTACAGCCAGCATGCAGCCACTTCTCTGCCGAAGTGGAAAGAGCTACTTTCCCTGCACCTGTTCTCCAATCATGCCACAAAAAAGACTGACGTTGGGCCCTCTTTCTTTGGGTGCCTCTAACGGTACAGCACTTTCATTTCATTAGGTTTTTTACTTGAACGAAAAACAACTTGAGGTAACAATGTGAGTGAATTTACAATGTGCCATACCCCAAAGTCATCTCTTCTCATTTTTGCTAGGTAACTCCCCCAACCTGCCCCTGTAATTCCAAATACCTACTAACTATGTAACCTTGAGAAAAGTATTCCATCTCTCTAATATTGATCTTCTCATGGATACTAGGGGAAGAAAAATATCTACCTTTTGGAGTTATTGTGAGGATTAAATAAGACAATGTGTGCAGGGTCTAGGAAAGGGAACACTTTCAGTTTCTTCTTTATCCTCCTATTGTTTCCCCCTCCCCTCCATGAGAGAAGTGGCTAATCTGGTTGGTCAGATTCCAAGACATTATCTGGGCTATTTTTTCCCAGTGTTCAGCATCATGCAGGACGTGCTTGGGTCTTGCACATGGGTGTGACTCCCTTTGGGGCTCTTCTTCCTCCTTCCCCATGAGATTGCAGTGACACTCCAACCCAGGCCTGCTCTCAGACTTAGAGAGAGGGAACAACCAGAAGGACAGTCATACTGTGAAGGTGCAGCCTGTTTTAGCAGGTGTCTTTTTTTTTTTCCTTGAGTCTCGCTCTGCCCAGGCTGAAGTATAGTGGTGTGATCTCCACCTCCCAGGTTAGAGTGATTTTTGTGCCTAGGCTCCCGAATAGCTGGGATTACAGGTGTGCACCACCATACCCAGCTAATTTTTGTATTTTTAGTAGAGATGGGTTTCATCACGTTGGCCAGGCTGGTCTCGAACTCCTGACCTCAAATGATCTACCTGCCTCGGCCTCCCAAAGTGTTGGGATTACAGGCGTGAGCCACCATGCTTAGCCTGGTGTCTGGTTTGACTAAGCAGGGTCGGGCTGCCCTGGTGGTGGTGCTTTCTATTTACTTTTTCCACTGTCTCTTATCTGTAGATTTCTCCCTCTAGACCTTGGTGAGGGCAAGGGAGGAGGTAATAGCTGTAGTCTAAGGTAGGATTCTGGTATGTTTGGGCCTCTTGACCTAATATTATCTAATAGGACTCCAAACCAATCATAACCTTTTAACATTATAAACATTAGTAGTGTTTTTGTTATCTATTGCTGCTTAATAAAAACCACTTCAAAATTTAGTGTCTTAAAACAACAATCTTTTTTTTTTTTTTTATGAGATGGAGTCTAGCTCTGTCACCAAGCTAGAGTTCAGCAGTGCAATCTTGGCTCGCTGCAACCTCTGCCTCCCAGGTTCAAGTGATTCTCCTGCCTCAGCATCCCGAGTAGCTGGGATTACAGGTATGCACTGCCACGCCCAGCTAGTTTTTTTTTTTTTTTTTTTTTTTAATTTTTAGTAGAGACAGGGTTCCACCATGACGGCCAGGTTGGTCTTGATCTCCTGACCTCGTGATCCACCCGCCTCAGCCTCCTAAAGTACTGGGATTACAGGCATGAGCCACTGTGCCCAGCCTTTTTTTTTTTTTATTTCTCATGATTGCGTGGGTTGACTGGTAGGTGCTGTTCAGTTCCACTGGTCTCATTTGGGTGTCTCACATAGCTGTAGTCAGACAGCAGTCAGGCCTGGCATCTTCAGGATGGCTTTGCTCACATGTTTGACGCTTTATTGGAGATGACTGGAACGCTGGGCTTAGCTGGATGCTGATAAGGCTAGATCTCCTCTCTCACTGTATACTCCCAGGGAATCTCCTCCTCCATGTGAATTTCTCAAATGGTAGCTCAGGGCTCCTAAAACCATAAAAAATGGAAGCTGCCAGACCTTCTCAAGGCTTAGGGCTGGAACAGGCAATGAGTTCCTTTTGCTATATTCTATTCCTTAAAACAAGTCATAGGCCTGGCCCTTATTCAAGAGGAGGAGACTACGTAGGGTGTAAGTGCTGGCAGGCGCGGTTGATTGGGGGCTGCGAGAAATAGTAGTATCAGCTTTATCTGTAGTTCCTAGGATTAGTAAATGTATGCCGGAAGTTTCCCCTCTTACAGCTCACTTACATCTTAATGTATAGGGCTAGATATATAGCTTAACATAGCTGGTCACTGTCTTTTGTAAATGGTTTAATTTATAATCATGCAAATAATGCAAATAAAGCCTCTGTAGACCTATCTGCTCAAATTTAACCTCATAGGGTGTGGAGAGGATTAAATCAAATCATCTATTAGAAGACACCACAAAACCCATATTTTAAAAATCATCTATGTAAGTTGCTTAGCACTATGGGCCAGCAAATATTCAATAATGGTATTTATTATTATTTTATTGTTACCAGAGTCCCCAGGGCCAGGCTCAGTGGCTCATGCCTGTAATTCCAGAACTTTGGGAAGCCAAGGTGGTGCGTCACCTGAGGTCAGGAGTTCGAGACCAGCCTGACCAACATGGAGAAACCCCATCTCTACTAAAAATACAAAATTAGCCAGGCCTGGTGGTACATGCCTGTAATCCCAGCTACTCGGGGGGGCTGAGGCAGGAGAATCACTTGAACCCGAGAAGGGAGGTTGTGGTGATCCGAGATTGCACCACTGTACTCCAGCCTGGGCAACAAGAGTGACACTCCAGCTCAAAGCTCAGGTGGACAGGAGAAAGCATTTAGGGGCAAGATGTCAGAATAAAAGGAAGAATCATTTTATTTCTCAGTCAGCAACAGGCCCCCAACAGGTGATGGAGCGAATCCAAGAGATAGATTACCGGAAAGGCAGGATGAGGTAAGGAGCTGCCAGTTTCCAGCTTGCAAGAAAGACAGAGCCAGGTAGCAAGCAGACTGAAAAACAAGTGGAACCTACTTTCCCTTTGGAGTAGTACCAGACTTCTAACATGACTAATTACGGATGATCCAGGCAGCAGAGGACAAAGAAAAAAGACAGCCTTTGGAAGGTAATAAATCAGTTGTATCTGGAGTGAAATACCTAAATCAATCAAAACAGCGTTGGTTCAGCCATGATCACAGTGTTAGCATTTAATCAGGCTCACTATCTGTACAACTTCCTTTTCCCACATCTATCACTCCAGTTTCCCTCTTTGTTCTCCTAGGGGGGAAAAAAAAAGGTAGTAATGTGTTTGAAGAGAAAGAGATTAAACAAGATTTAAATAACATCATGGTGGTAAAAAGAGTTTTGTAAACTTTTAAGTGCTCTACAAATGTTTAATGTATTATTTTTAAGAGAGGTGGAGTCAAGCATTGCTCAAAGATAGGGGTGTTAGAACTCCATGAGTGGCTGAACCAATAGTGCTTCTAAAGCCAATGACAGGGAAGAATCGTAGGAGCCATGGAAAGACTGAGGTAGAGACCATTGCTCATTGTTGACCTCATGAGGCCTTTGCCTGGCCTCTGACCCTCGCTTTTGTCCCAACTCCCAGCAACTTCAAAAGAGAAGATGTTTGGTATCATTTACCTTCAACCAAGATTGTGAACTGAAGTTTCAGAGAAAGAGCTAGTGAGTATTTTTAATCATTGTATTAAATTAATAAACAAATATCTAGATTTGGGCAACTTCTTTTGGAAAGACGAGCTGAGAGTAAAGTACAGATATTATCTCTGTTTTCCGGCTTCATTTATATCAGAGAAACTTAAGAATTTCTGAACAGAAGAGGAGCAATCTCTACAGAGAAATGCTTTAGTAATAGGTTAGAAAGGAGGTGGGTCATAGGAATACTTTTTTTCTTAATTTTTTTTTTTGAATTGAGGTTTTGCTATGTTGTTCAGGCTGGACTGGAACCCCTGACTCAAGTGATCCTCCCATCTCAACCTCTGGAGTAGCTGGGACTACAGGCATGGGCCATCACACCAGACCAGGAATAATTTCAGTTGATTTTATTATAAACACAGCAATATGTATCTGAAAGGTCTTTGGAGTTAAATCCACATGAAGCTACAAAGACATAGAAATGTCTGAGTAAAGATGTTTGACTCCAGGTAAGATTCAATATAGTTTTTATTTATTCTTTCATTCAGCAAGTATTTCTTGAGTAATTATTATTATTATTGTTGTTATTATTTTGAGACAGAGTTTCGCTCTTGTTTACCCAGGCTGGAGTGCAATGGCGTGATCTCGTCTCACCGCAACCTATGCCTCCTGGGTTCAGGCAATTCTCCTGCCTCAGCCTCCTGAGTAGCTGGGATTACAGGCACGTGCCACCGTGCCCAGTTAATTTTTTGTATTTTTAGTAGAGATGGGGTTTCACCAAGTTGACCAGGATGGTCTTGATCTCTTGACCTCGTGATCCACCCGCCTTGGCCTCCCAAAGTGCTGGGATTACAGGCATGAGCCACCACACCCAGCCTGAGTAATTATTATTACTATTATTATTTGAGACAGGGTCTTACTCTGTCACCCAGGCTGGAGTGTAGTGAAGTTATCACAGCTCACTGAAGCCTCAACCTCCTGGGCCCAAGAGATCCTCCCACCTCAGCATCCTGAGTAGCTGGGATTACAGGCATGAGCCACAGCTCCTGGCTGTAAAATCCTATCCATGCTTAGCTAATTTTTTTTTTTTTTTTTTTTGAGATGGAGTCTTGCTCCATCACCCAGACTGGAGTGCAGTGGCACAATCTTGGCTCACTGCAACCTCTGCCTCCCGGGTACAAGCAATTATGCTGCCTCAGCCTCCCAAGTAGCTGGGACTACAGGTGGCACATCACCACACCCAGATAATTTTTTTTTTAACTTTTAGTAGAGACGGGGTTCCCAATGTTGGCCAGGCTGCTCTTGAACTCCTAACCTCATGATCCATCGGCCTTGGCCTCCCAGAGTGCAGGGATTACAGGCAAAAGCCACCATGCCCAGCCTATTTTTTAAAATTTTTGTAGAGATAGGGTTTCACCATGTTGCCCAGGCTGATCACTGTTATCATGTACAAGGACTAGGTACTGTTTGCTCTCACATTATATTCTAGACGGTGAGACAGATAATAAAGGAAAAAAAATAAGTAAACATTTAGGTAATGATAAATTCTATGCAATTTAAATCAAGAAAGATAATAGACAGTGACTGTGTAGTCACAGTATCTTTGTTTCCCCTGCACTTAGTGCAGTGAGGGGCTCCATAAATGCCAAATAACAATATGAATAAATTATTGTCCCCACCCAAGTTCAAGTCCTCACTACCTCATGCCTGGTTCATTGCCAATTGTTCTTTGACAGTCCACTTAACCTTCATTCCATCTTCCTTTCAGGCATGATGTATGCGCCACTGTCTGATTTTATTTTATTTTACTTATTTATTTATTTTTCAAGATGGAGTCTCACTCTGTCACCCAGGCTGGAGTGCAGTGGCATGATCTCAGCTCACTGCAACCTCTGCTTCCTGGGCTCAAGCAATTCTCCTGCCTCAGCTTCCTGAGTAGCTGGGACTACAGGCATGTGCCATTACGTCTGGCTAATCTTTGTATTTTTAGTAGAGACAGGGTTTCACCATGTTGACTAGGCTGGTCTCGAACTCCTGACCTCAAGTGATCCACCCACCTCGGCCTCCCAAAGTGCTGCAATTACAGGTATGAGCCACCATACCTGGCCATTAACTAACTGTATTTAATAATGAAATAGAATATCTGCTACTGTTTTATAAAGTATGCAAAAAAAAAATCTTTTTTTTTTTCCTTGACACAAAATCTTGCTCTGTCACCAGGATGGAGGGCAGTGGTGAGATCTTGGCTCACTGCAATCTCTGCCTCCCAGGTTCAGGTGATTCTCATGCCTCAGCCTCCTGAGTAGGATTACAGGTGCGTGCCACCACACCTGGCTAATTTTTTTTTTTTTTTTGAGATGAAGTTTTCACTCTTGTTGCCCAGGCGGAGTGCAATGACGCGATCTCGGCTCTCTGCAACCTCCACTTCCTGGGTTCAAGTGATTGTCTTGCCTCAGCCTCCTGAGTAGCTGGGATTACAGGCATGCGCCATCATGCCCGGCTAATTTTGTATTTTTAGTAGAGGCAGGGTTTCTCCATGTTGGTCAGGCTGGTCTCAAACCCTCAATCTCAGGCAATCCACACTCCTCAGCCTCCCAAAGTTCTGGGATTACAGGTGTGAACCACCACACCCAGCCAATTTTTGTATTTTTAGTAGAGATGGGATTTCTGCATATTGGCCAGGCTGGTCTCAAACTCCTGACTTCATGTGATCCACCCACCTTGGCCTCCAAGTGGATGGGATTACAGGTGTGAGCCACTGCATCTGGCCAAAACAACATATTCTTAATTTGATTTACTCATATTTTCTTTTCTATAAGTGAATCTGACCACTTTGTATATTTTCTAAGTGTTAAGCCCATTTAAGGTTTGTAAGTATATAAAAAAGATTAAGCCATAAATATACACAATTTATGAAACTGTTTTACAATGAAGTAAAAATCGTTTACTACTGATTAGAAATACCTACATGTTTAGAATCCTGATTATTCTTTGTAATTCCCCTCTTTGATCATGGCTACTCTGCATTTGAATATACAAAAAAGCCTTTGGAAAGTATTGTTCCTCCCCTTCTTCCACCTGAAAAATAGAGAAAAAAAAATCTTAAAAAGGCAAATACCTCCAAAGCTCGCATTATACTTTTAAAACGTCTCAACATTTATGACATCTTATTTTCCAAAGTATGGGAAAATTAAGCCCAGAATGACAATCTAATGATCATTTTGTGGTGTTGTGGTGTCTCATTTTTCTTGAAAGCCACTATTATAAGAAAAAGCAAATTTTTAAAGAACTTTATCGTTCATAGTTGATCTGGGTATTAAATGGGCTACTTTGTAGCCAGAGAAAACCTAAAATTCCAACACATCCATAAATTGAGCTTTTTATAATCGTTGTTTTTTGATTCCTTCAACATTTGAAAATCAGTATTTGTGGATGCTATGTAGAGAAAATGGACAAAAACTGAAGACTGAAAAGTGAACAAATTGAGTGCCCAAATGGTGAATAAGAACTATCATTGGCTGGGCGCAGTGGCTCACACTTGTAATCACAGCACTTTGGGAGGCCGAGGGGGACAGATCACCTGAGGTCAGGAGTTCGAGACCAGCCTGACCAACATGGAGAAACCCCGTCTTTACTAAAAATACAAAATTAGCTGGGCACGGTGGCACATGCCTATAATCCCAGCTACTTGGGAGGCTGAGGCAGAAGAATTGCTTGAACCCAAGAGGCAGAGGTTGCAGTGAGCTGAGAGTGTGCCATTGTACTCCAGCCTGGGCAACAAGAGTGAAACACTGTCTCAAAAAAAAATTTTTCGAGCTCTTACTGTCAGGCCTTGTGCTAAGTGCTATAACTGTATTATATCATGTAACCTTCACAACAGTTTGATGTTCTTTTCCCCATGTTATAGATTAGTAAACAGGTTTGAAGAAATTAGGTAATTTATCCAAAGTCACACAGCTAGCATAGTGAGGATACAAATCCTTGACTAATTCTAGAGGTGGTACTTTGAATACACCGTACTGCCTGCGTTTGGCAGATCATAGACAGAAAGTGCAGTCCTTTATCTCTGGAATAATTTCATAGTAGGGAACTACATAAAGGTTGAGTTTGTTCCTGTGAGAAGAATACATCCTTTTATTAATTAAAATGTAACATTGATTTTGGTCATATACTTTTAGTAATTTATTCCACATTGAAAGATAAAGGTTTTGAATGGATGCAGCCTGGGCTTTTTAAAGAAAACAAAAGTTATTAAATATTTATATTGTTTTCGTGCTTTAAAAAAAAGTCTTCTGGATTACAGCTCACAACTGTAATCCCAGCACTTTGGGAGGCCGAGGCAGGTAGATAATGAGGTCAGGAGTTCAAGACCAGCCTAGCCATCATAGTGAAACCCTGTCTCTGCTAAAAATTTAAAAATTAGCCAGACATGATGGTGTGTACATGTAGTCCCAGCTACTCAGGAGGTTAAGGCAGGAGAATCGCTTGAGCCTGGAAGGCAGAGGTTGCAGTAAGCCAAGATCGTGCCACTGCACTCCAGCCTGGGTGACAAAGCAAGACTCTGTCTCAAGAAAGTAAAAATAGAAAAGAAGTCTTCTAAAATCAAGCATGTAGAATATTACAAATACCTATCCTAGAAAAAAAGTACAGATGACTTTGTTAACAGTGAGTGGAAGAATGCCAAAACTAATATCACACACTGCTTTTCTCCATTAATACTGTATTTTCAGCCTTTGGACCAGTACTTGTTCTTGAGCGATTCCTGACTTGCTTCATTTTTGCAACAGGAAAGCCATACATTTTTCAAAAGATAGCCAGAAGAGTGGCTGAAATTGCACTGAAATTCTTTAGCATCTGACCAGATACTGTGATGTTTTCAGTATGATGTACTTGATTTGGCTACTCAAGATTTATCTATTTTGTAAGTCGCTTTGTTGATTAAAAGAATATTAGGAAAGGAACCTAGAAAGGTAAAAAACATGATGTGGAAGGTAGCCTCCAAAGGAACCCAGAATAATCCTTCCTTCCTTCCTTCCTTCCTTCCTTCCTTCCTTCCTTCCTTCCTTCCTTCCTTCCTTCCTTCCTTCCTTCCTTCCTTCTTCTTTTTCTTTCCTTCTTTCTTTCCCTCCCTCACCTTCCCTCCTTTCCCTTCCCCTTCCCTCCCTTCCCCTCACCTTCCCTTCCCTTCCTTCTTCCCTTCCTTCTTTCTTTCCTTCTTTTTTTCTTGCCCGGCTGTAGTGCAATGGTGTGATTTCTGCTCACTGCAACCTCTGCCTCTCAGGTTCCACCAATTCTCCTGCCTCAGCCTCCTGAAAAGCTGGCATTACAGGCATGTGCCACCATGCCTGGCTAATTGTTTTGTATTTTTAGTAGATATGGGGTTTCACTGTGTTGGCCAGGCTGGTCTCAAACTCCTGACCTCAGGTGACTCACCCACCTCAGCCTCCCAAAGTGCTGGGATTACAGGCATGAGCCACCACACCCTGTGAATGATCTTTATATCATGGTATTCCCTTTCCACATTGTATCAGGGTTGATTTGTATGACAAATAGAATACTGCAGACATGACAATGTGGGACTTCTGAGGCTAGATAATAAAGGCCATTGTAACTTCTGCCTTGGCATCTTGGATCCCTCCTCTGGGGAATGCCAGCTTCCATGGACACAAGGACCCCTGGAGATAGACCCATGTGCAAAGAAAATGAAGCCTCCTGCCAACAACCAGCATCAACTTGCCATCCGTATGAGTGAGCCCCTTGGAAGCAGATCTGCTAGCCTGACTCAACCCTTCAGATGACTGCAGTCACAGCCAACATCTGAACGAATCTTAAGAGAAATTCTAAATTAGAGCTGTCCAGCCACAGAAACTATGAGAGACAAATGTTTACTGTTGTGACCTGGTGCGGTGGTTCATGGCTGTAATCCCAGCACTTTGGGAGGCCAACACAGGCAGATCACTTGAGGCCAGGAGTTCAAGACCAGCCTTGCCAATAGGGCAAAACCCCATCTCCACTAAAAATACAAAAACTTAGCTGGGTGTGGTGGTACATGCCTGTAGCCCCAGCTAGGGAGGCTGAGGCATGAGAATTGCTTGAATCTGGGAGGTGGAAGTGGCAGTGAGCCAAGATCTTGCCACTGCACTCCAGTCTGGGTGGCAGAGTGAGACTCTGTCTAAAAAAAAATTAGTTGTTTGAGCCACAAATCTTTGCTATAATTTGTTTTGCAGCAATAAATAAGTCATATATGTGCTGCCATGTAAATGTTGGTTTTCAGACAGGATGTTTGTTCTTTTCCTAATCACTAGCTAATTATTTCCCTGAGATACACTTCTGTCTTCCTTTCTTATCACCAATTATTTTCAAAAGAATTCCTTCACATTTTAATTCCACTGACAATGCTGTGTTTTAGGGGAGGTATGTTGAAACATTTTATCTCCCAAGGGTCTCCCCATTGTTTCTTCAGTTTCTTCTACCATATTGAAAATGTATAGAGAGGAGAAGATGGCGCTATAGGAGCAACTCAGGATTGCAGCTCCCAGTGAAACAGCAGAGGGTGAGTGGACACCACATTTCCAGACGGATCTTTATTGCCCACAGACCAGAAGATTCCCAAGTGTAGGAGCCCCATGGGCCACCAGCGTGGCGGTTTTGGCTGGCGCGGCTGTTTTGGCCAGCACCGCAGCACAGTGGCACTCCGTACAAAATACACTGGTTTGGTTGCCTTGTTAAACCAGCAATTTGAGATTGAGGAAGGCAGATTAGCACATTCATCTGATTAGACGGGACTTAAATAGTAAGCCAGGCCAGGAGAGTCCTGGGAGCGACGTTGTTTCAGCTGGCGCAGTGGGTCACTGCATGGGAAATCACACAGATCCTGGTGCCCTTTCAGCAGGCGACTGCAACACCTGGGAGAGAGTCAACTGTTCAACTTAAAAAAAAAAAAAGGGGGGCTCTGAGGCAGGGAGCCAGGTGATCAGGCTCAGCGGGTCCCACCCCCACAAAAACAAACAAAACAGCAATTGGAAACACTTGGGGTTGAGAGTTTCACGGCAAGCACAGCTGAACCCAGGATGGTGCAGCTCGGTGGGGGAGGGGCGTCCACCATTACAGAGGCACTCCACCCCTACAGAGGTACTCTGCCACTGCTGATGCAGCCTGCCATTGCCAAGGCAACCCGCCATTGCTGAGGCAACCCGCCATAACAGAGAGTTCGCCATTACAGAGGCGGGCCACCATTGCCACGGCAGTTCTAAACACACCCATATAAACAGGACTACAGGGAATTACACACGGCAGCAGGGTGGAGCCCATGGCAACAGGGCAGAGCCCACGGCAGCAGGGCAGAGCCCAGAGCAGCTCAGCATAGCCTCTGCAAGCAGGCAGTGACTAGACTGCCTCCTTGCTGGGCAGGACAGTGCAACAGATACTCATAAATAAAGCCCTAACTCCCCGGGACAGAGCATCTGAGGAAAAAAAGGGGCTTTATGAGTTCTGCTGCAGCAGATTTAGACGTACCTGCCTAGCAGCCCTGAATGAACAACGGAGCTCACAGCTCAGCACTTGAGCTCCTATAAAGTACAGACTGTCTCCTCAAGCAGCTCTCTGACCCCTGTATATCCAAAGAGTCACCTCACAAAGGACTGATCAGACTGACATTTGGTGGGCATCATTCTGGGACAAAGATAGCAGAAGAAGAAACTGGTAGCAACCCTCACTTCCGCAGCTGCTACATGTGTTCCCCAGGCAAGCAGATCCTGGAGTGGACCTCAGCAGTCCTACAACAGAGGGGCCAGACTGTTAGAAGGAAAACTAAGAAACAGAAATACTTCATCGTCAACAATCTGGACGTCCACTCAGAGACCCAATCGGAGAGTCAGCAACTACTCAGAAGACAGGTGGATAAATCCACAAAGATGGGAAGAAACCAGTGCAAAAAGGAGGAAAACACCCGAAACTGGAACACCTTGCCTCCTACAAGGGACCACAACCCCTCACCAGCAAGGTAACAAAGGTGGATGGAGAATGAGTGTAATGAAATGACAGAATCAGACTTCAGAAGGTGGGTAATGAGAAACTTC